GAGATAACAAAAACTAGTAGCAGATTCAGACTTAGCCAACCGACCAGAGGAGGCAGAGAAACGCAGCAGTGACCAAGAGGACAGCCAAGCAGACTTTAACAAATGTGAACAAATATCTAATAAGACCATCAGAGAATCTGAAGAAAAATTAAGAGCTATGTCTGATGCTATGAAAAGGAACAATATCAGAATAATTGGAGTATCAGAGGAAGACACAACAAAGAAGTCATCTGCAGCAATAGTGTGAGAATTCTTGGAGGAAAGCTTCCCCAGCTTAATGAATGAAAACCAGGCAACCATTCAGGAGTCTGAAAGAACACCAGCTAGACTGAATCCCAAGAAGACATCACTAAGGCACATAACAGTTAAACTATCCAACTTTGAGGAAAATGAGAAAATCATGAGAGCAGCTAGGGAAAAACAAGCAATCACATATAAAGGTTCCCAAATAAGAATATGCTCAGACCTATCCGCAGAAACTATGAAGAGGAGAGAGTGAAGTAACATATTCCAAAAATTGAAGGAAAATAACTCTATTCAGCCAAATTATTGATCAAGATAGATGGAGAAGTAAGAGCCTTCCCAGACAAGGAAAAACCCAAAGAATATGTTAGAAGAAACCCAACCCTACAAAGAGGCATTACTGTGGGACTAGAGGAAAGAGCTAGGAGGCAAAGGACATTTATAGAGGTCTAAATGTACATATGTACATATGTAAATATATTTATATATGATGATGGGGAAATAGATCTATGGTACATATATTTATAGGTTTAGTATTAAGGTCACAGATGGACATTAGGCCTCTAATCAAGTACTCCCTTAATGCCAGAACATTTTGTTCTATTAACCTGGTATTCCATGATGCTCACCTTCCTGACACAATCACTGAAGACAAAATGGATACATAAGCAAATGTGAAGAAAGCTGATGGTGCCTGGCTATCAAAAGATATAGCATCTGGGGTCTTAAAGCTTGAAGATAAACAAGAGGCCACCTAGCTGAGAAGCAACAAAGCCCACATGGAAGAAGCACACCAGCCTATTGACGTGATCACGACACGTCAATAAGATCAGGTATCAGGCATCAAAGAACAAAGAATCATATTGTGAATGAGGGGGAGTGTGGAGTGGACATCCCCTTACAGAAGGGTCACAGGGAAGAGACAAGCCAGTCTGGGTGCAGTACAGCAGTAATGAAACAGACAACTTTCCTCCAGTTCTTTAATGCTTCCTCCCCCCACTATCATGATCCCAATTCTACCTTACAAATCTGACTAGACCAGAGGATGTACATTGGTACAGATTAGAGCTGGAAACACAAGGAATCCAGGACAGATAAACTCTCAGGACCAATAATGAGAGTAGAGATACCAGGAGGTTAAGGGGAAGGTGGGGGGAGAAAGGGGGAGCTGATCACAATGATCTACATACAATCCCCTCCCAGGAGGATGGACAACAGAAAAGTGGGTGAAGGGAGACATCGGACAGTGTAAAACATGACAAAATAATAACAATTTATAAATTATCAAGGTTTCGTTAGGAAGTGGGTTCAGGGAGAGAGGGGAAAATGAGGAGCTGATACCAAGGGCTCAAGTAGAAAGAAAATGTTTTGCAAATGATGATGGCAACACATGTATAAATGTGCTTGACACAATGGATGGTCACTGAGTCAAAATTGCTTAGCAGTGAGAGTTTGGCTATAGCTGTTTTACGACTTTTTTAAAAAAAGATTACTTTATTATATAACAGTGGGCACTACATCAATTTTTTTTCAAGTATTAAGTGAGGCAAAAGATAACATTTCTCTCTGATTCCTAATGAGAATGTCAAAATCATCTGTCTTTTGAAGAATTCAATTTCTTAGGATGTCTGTGATACTGCCCATGCGGATACCAAAGATGCTCCGTAGTAAAGAACACTTTGCTAAACTGTTCTGTCACAGGCTCTTGTTCCAGGGGCTGGTCTTTCACTTCCAATCTGGTTTTCAGCACATGATCATGTGTTTCTTCACCATTATGTATCGGATTTGGCCGAGGGATAGGTTTTGTATGTCCATCTGCTGTCAAAGCAAGCTCTACCTTGAAATTATAGTCATCTGGGAGAGACTGTGTGCGTTTATGACAAACACTGTATAAAACTATTTTGAATAGGAAATAAATGTTTCAGGACAGCTCTATTTCATAGTGCCCGTTTTACTGCTGCTGTTGCCATGGTGGACCAAGATGCGTGCATCAGATGGTATGGCAAAAAATGTGATGAAGAGAAACTGCTTTTAAAATCTGCTTCCAGGTACATCTATTTTCATCCTTTGACAGGTCTTCACGGTGAAACCACGATCTTGTCTCCCTTTATGGCTTTTTAGTCACAAGTGGTCATTTAATATATAATAGTGTCTGGGGTCTTAAAAGTTTGTATTAAAATAAGCAGTCAGCTACATCCACAAAGAAGAAGTACACCAGCCTATATGATCCAAGGATTGTAAATACGAAAATCCAAGACCAGAGGAGGAAAAGATATTAGAGCTTAAATTCTAAACACTCAGTTTTCAGAAGGCTGTGGATAACAGTGATTGCTCAAAATCCACTTAAAGGGCCCCCATGTAGATTAATCACCTCTGTCCCTGAATAGTGATGTGAATAGCCTTGTTATTAGAGCACATTATATAGTGGACTATTGCAGATATTATTAGATTAAAATTTAACACCTTATCATTTGTTCTCCCATTTTGAATTTGTTCTAGTTTTTATTCTTTTCTGTTATCTTTTCAATTGAATGTTTTTTTATGTTTTATTTTGTTATTGTTGAGATGTTTTTTATTTCGTTTTTCTGTATGTGTGTGTTTTTATTTTTATTTTTTTTTAACATTTTATTAGGGGCTCATACAATTGTTATCCCAATCCATACACACATCAATTGTGTAAAGCGCATTTGTACATCGTTTCTCAAAACATTTTCTCTCCATTGAAACCCCCGACATTAGG